CGCCTATAAGAGCATGGGGCCTTGCTTTCTATTCTTACCACCGCCCTTATTGTATCCGGGCGAGAATATTAGAGAGATGGTGAGGACAGTGTCAGCCTTAGAAACATCTTTGTTAAGTAGACCCAGTTATTCCACTTTTGTTAATACCTCCCAATTATGGTGCCTAGAGTATACAAAATTATATGCACAAAGATATCCTAAGTGGTATTAGTTGTAATGGCCCTAATTATAAACCGCTTAAAAGTTTAAGGGAGGGGTCAGCAAACTTTTTCTGTAAATGGCCAGAAAGGAAATATTTTAGGCTTTGCAAGCCATGTCTCTCTTAAAACTTCTCAAATGTGGTGTCTGTAGTACAAAAATAACCATAGACAATATGTAAGTAAATGGGCCTGGCTGTGTTCCAATAAAACTTTATTTACAAATGCAGAGCCAAGTTTGCCAACCCCCGGTATAGGGAAATAGTCAATAAACAGATATAGCCATGGTATCCAATGAATGGTACATTATGTACTCATTGAAAATTAGTAATGAATAGAATGGAAAACATAAGGAAGTCTATAAATAATAAAGCAGGATATGAAAGTGTATGAGTGGGTAGGATCATGGATGTAATAACACACCAAGCATATAATAAAAGGGTGACATATTACTAACTGTAGTTATAATAGGGTGGCAGAGCAAATAAATGGATGACTTTGTAAAATAAATAAGTAAATAAATAATAAATACCAACTATGTTTACATGTTGATAAAGGACACATTTTGAAGGACACATTTTGACACTAAAATATGTCATTCACATTCTTTGGGATTTATTCTTGACCGCATGGATTTTTATTCTAAATAATTCAGTTTATATTCATAGCTGTCTTATAGAGTAGGAAGGCTTTGTTATCTTTTTCCAAGCCATTTAAATAATTGATTTTACAAAATAGCTTTTAGTATAGGTTATGTCCACTTAATGCCCTAAACCACAGATTCCCATCACTCCAACAGTTACACAATAAGGTAATGCTCACAATATATGGCCTTTATTGTCTACATAACTTCCCATGTATTACCTAGGTGTGGACTATGGAAATGTCATACTGGGGACTCTCACCTATCAAGTAGGTGGAAGGAACAGACAGGTTCAGAACCACTATCCTAAACAAAGAAATCAAGAGAAAGATTTAGAATAACTTTTATTCAAAAGCAAAACAAGTGGGGCGCCTGGGTGGCGCAGTCGGTTAAGCGTCCGACTTCAGCCAGGTCACGATCTCGCGGTCCGTGAGTTCGAGCCCCGCATCAGGCTCTGGGCTGATGGCTCAGAGCCTGGAGCCTGTTTCCGATTCTGTGTCTCCCTCTCTCTCTGCTCCTCCCCCGTTCATGCTCTGTCTCTCTCTGTCCCAAAAATAAAAATAAAAAACGTTGAAAAAAAAATTATAAAAAAAAGCAAAACAAGTAAAAATATACAGGAAACTAGGCATGGGGATTTGTCTGATCAGCTAGTGCCACTAGCACTTAGACAAATGTTCTTCATGACACAGGATCTTCTACATCACAATAGTTTCTGCAGGCCATATTTTGAAATCAAAAGAAATGACGAAACTTACTTTCGGCTACCTGAAAACTCAATATTTTCCACACTTGGATTTTAGTATTAATTTTGTTGACAGCACAAGGAACCTCGTTTTAAGATCTTACCAGAGAATTTTTTTTAATTTTTTTCTAACGTTTATTTATTTTTGAGAGAGACACAGTGTGAGTGGGGGAGGAGCAGAGAGAGAGGGAGACAAAGAATCCAAAGCAGGGTCCAGGCTCTGAGCCATCAGCACAGAGCCCAATGCGGGGATCAAACCCACGAACCCTGAGATCATGACCTGAGCCAAAGTCCGATGCTTAACCAACTGAGCCACCCAGGGGCCCCATTACCAGAGAATGTTAATAAAGACATTAACTATTAAACTTTATATGTGTACTTTAAATTAGCTCTAAACCTTCTACAATGATTATATAGTTTTCAGAGTGGTTTTACTTTAATTTCAGCCAAGGATTTAAATAATCCACAGAGAATTTAGACCCGTTATTTGCCTATTCAAAGTATGAATGTGTGAACATGTGTGCATGTGTTTACACATATATATGCATGAACAAACATATCTATATATTTGTTAGTTCTCAAATAATGCATATATATAAAAATATATATAGGTACAAATATATATAGACATATATGTAAGCTTTCTCTAAAAGAAATGAATTTCTATAAATAGAAAAAAATTTTAAGTGATGAAAATATTAATTTTAGCAGTTTTCTTTTACAAGCTACAGTACAGGAATAAGCTTATAGATGCTACTTTGAAAGATATTATAGTACACAGACAATAGCTGAAAATTTATATTGTTTTCAAAATGAAACAAGCAAGTTATAGGTTATACATAACCCAATACCAAGCTTACCTAATAAGAACTGTATACAAATCTAAGATGGAATGAACTAAATTTAAATCAGGCGTAAACAATTTTTATACAGTATTAAAGATAGTTTTCACTTAAGACATATTAAAATGGATTCACCACGGAATACAGAAAATCCCTATTTTAGTCACAAATGAACATGGAGAATATTAGAGGTTAAATATGGATATCATAAACCATTTCAGTACTTGAAAGCAAACCATTACACCCACTGAAAGGTGATGTTTTGTCAATTCCTGAAAGTCCAAGCAAAAACATTTAAGGTGTTAGTTCTATTCAGTTCCACTTGTATATCAGTCATTAACAATTTCCAGAAGTGACCTATGACTCGACCACCCTTAGTGTGTCTCTCTGGAAGTTTCTACACAAAATTAACCATCAATTTCTTCTCCAAGTGCTAAATTTTAAGAAAGTGACCCAAGTATTGTAGTTAATACAGTAAGACTGAAATTCTAGGCATAAACCTAAGAAAAGAGAAAAGAGTTTCACAAGGGACCAGCATCCTAATGTGTGTGCAAAAGAATGCCAGCCCTAAAATATTGCTCCATAAAATGTCTATAAAATGACATCCATAATACAGATTATTTTTTAAAAAGCTCTGAGTTCTGCAGTTGCCCCCACCCATATAACTGTAATTAAAAAAAAAAAAACTTTAAGCCGATATTTTCAAGATACTTGACTTCAAACCCTTCTTGCATATTAAGTGTCTGAAAAATTAGTACTCCTCACAGCAATCTTTGAGAAATGATGTAAAATTTTAGTAATAAATTCTATGTTAGGAGAAATTCAGCGAAAACTATTGAGGAATACTTAAAATTCTAAGATAATATACAAGATAGACGTGAGTACAAAATGCAACTGATGTAAAAAAAAAGAGACACTTGGTTGGTTGTTATTGGCAGGACAGAGGCACCATCTGCTAACACTCTCAGTTGTTTCAGATTATTTCTTCAGCCCTATTGCCATCACTTCATTCAGGCCCTCTTCACCACAAAAAGAACTTAAGATTTTTCCAAAGTGACTCTCCTCATTATAGTCTATCTTTTCTAATCCAGCGTTTCCCAAATTTAATATGCAACTGAATTACCCAGAGATCTTGTGGAAATGTAAGTTCTGATTTGGTAGGTCTAGACTGGGGTCTGAAATTCTTCTTTTTTAACAAGCTCTCAGGTAATACTGATACAACCACACTTTGGATAACATAGATCTAACCCATTCTGTAAGCCATTGCCCCATTACTCTTCCTAAAATACTGATCTCCTGTCACTGCCTCAGGAATCTAGGTGAACTCTGTGGATCGCGTGTACACATTGGCAATCACTTATTGGTCCAGAACTTCATTCAAGACCAATGTGGTCTTTCTCCTAACTGCTATGCTCATTCCAACCCACATCTGCATCTTTTTCCCCTGAGGTAAAATGTATATGCAGTGAAGTACAGATTTGATCATTGCATACACCTGTGTAACCAATGCCCTCCCCCAAAGATATGGGACATTGCCATCACACCAACCCTGTGTTTTGACCCTGGTTTATAAATACCCTTCCACCTTTCCTCTATCCTTGAGGACTCAGCTGAAGCCCTTCCTTCTTCAAAACACACATCAAATTCACACACATACCTCTATCTAAATTACTACTTCTTTTTAAGACCGAGCCACCACCGTCACCGAACTAATTGCAGTGATCTCCTCACAAACCTCTCTACCTCCATTCTTAGCCCCCCCCCCCCAATATATTATTCACAGAGGACTCAGAGTGATCTTCAAAAATTATAAATCAAATCTGGTCATTCTCCTGCTTAAAATCTTCCAAGGCTTACCGTCACATTTGCAATAAATCCAAACGCCCTTTTCTGTTGTCCTGTATCACTAAGCTCCTCCTTCTCTAACCTCAGCTCTTGCTACTTTCCCCACTACTTTCTATGCTCTGGTCATTGGCCATATGGACCTTCTTTCTGGCCCTACTACACAGTGAGAGTCAGGGACTCTGCATTAATTATTCATCTTTCTCTGACTGGCTATTTTTCTGCTGTTTCGATCTCAACTTCAAAGTTACTTCCTCATGGGAGCCTTCCCTGACTACAAAATCTAAAGTACCCACTCAGTCATTTTCTAAAACAAATTCGACTTTGTGTGCATAGTACCTATCGTTGGTATGTTTCTTATTGATGTGTTTGTTATTTGTCTCTTCTCACAAGAGCATAAGCCCCATGACTGTGGAACCTGTGGATGGAGTTCACTGCTGTAACTTCTACACCTAGAACAGTGTCCAGCTCATTCTAAGTAGATGCGCAACAAATGCTCGTTAAATAAATGTCAAAATTTATGATACAACACATATTCATACTACGCAGATGGAAATTGTGCCTGTGTCCCCGTACAAAATCTCCCATGAAATTAAAAAGAGAATAAGAAAGCTATTGCCAGTCCGCAAACAAGGTAAGTCTTTCACAAGAAAGAAAGGGAAGAAAAGAACTGCAGCTGTAATGTGGGGCAAAAATAAAACGCAGATTAAGTCAAAGTTTAATTCACATAAAGTTTAATCAGTCAAGTTAATGAAAATATCAAAATTTCTCAGTTAGTGTATGGCAGCAGAAACTTAATTTTTGTTGCAAATAATACAGTATTTGGTGTTTCCATTACTGACAAGCTATGCTGCAGATAGAGCAATTGCATTGAACCTCAATTCATCAGGGTCACGTTCCATAAACTTCTTGCAAACTTCTATGGCATCCTATAGGGACAAAAATGGGTAATTTTTCAGTTTATAAACATGCATTTTATTACTAAATGATAAATAAGTGTTTCATATTTTCCTAATTTATACTAATTTTATATTGCAGCCCTCTTTTTTCCCAATGCAAAATAACTTTAAGCATACCAGAAGAGTGAATGGTTGGTGGCCTAATTTGCTTAGTACAAAACTATAAGATACATATTTTGTTGATAATCAGCCACACAATTTGTTCATAAATTTAAAAATCTCTAAATGAGGATCAAGACACAAATGATGGTTTCTTTCAGTGAAATACGGGATAGGATGTGCACCTCTTTCAATACTGTTCTTGTCTTTTTCAAATTTGATACTTGTTCACACAAAGAGCTCTGAAAACCTCTTCATTTGCTGTAGGTTTTTAACACGAATTCAGAGTTTTCTTTTTGGATTTTCTCAAAAAAGAAAGACATGGAAGCACCCAAATACAGAGAAAACGTTATACAGGTGATCTTTAGAGGTATTTTAAGGATAACAAGAACATTAATAACACTTCACGTGGCCAACAAGTTTTGTTGTTACCTCTAATAAAGTTTCATCACTAGTTTCCCCATGGTTAATTGGAAATGGTTTCCGTCCATCTGTGGAAAATGAAGAAACAGTTAAACGTTTAGCTGCTTACACAGGACAATGTACTTCCAGCTTGCATCTTCCTCCTCCCACAGGGAGGCAAAGTTAAAAGATAATGGAAATGATATATCCTATAAAAACGATTTCAAATGTGCTATCAATATTTTTCTACATTAAATGTTATTAGAACCTTGCTTCCATGTTTGAAAGTCTAAATTAGTTTCATAAACAGAAGATTTAGAAACATACACAGTTTTAATTTCCCTAAGAAAAGCAAAACTAGTAAGCCAGTTTTTAAATTTTTTTTTTTCAACATTTATTTATTTTTGGGACAGAGAGAGACAGAGCATGAACGGGGGAGGGGCAGAGAGAGAGGGAGACACAGAATTGGAAACAGGCTCCAGGCTCTGAGCCATCAGCCCAGAGCCCGACGCGGGGCTCGAACTCACGGAGCGCGAGATCGTGACCTGGCTGAAGTCGGACGCTTAACCGACTGCGCCACCCAGGCGCCCCAAGCCAGTTTTTAAAAAGTTAAAATCCTAGTTTCTACTCTCATAAATATGAAAAATGTATTGCTTCATTTTAAAAGCTGAATCAGAAGGCTCCTAAGTGAGACTGACATGCTTACACCCATGAAAGGGAGCCACCACAAGATTTCTTTATTACCACCAATAATTGTGTACCACCAAGGCAGGAGTACAGAGCAGCAATCTAAACAACTGAGGGTCATTTCACAGATCACCAAAATTAATTAAACACAAATATAAACATCTTGAACAAACTACTCCTTCATGAATGCTATGAAAAAAGGAAAAAGTCCAGTATTATATAAACTCATCCTAACCAAAAGTTAATTGATACTCTATCCAAATCTAAATCTCAGATGTCTTATAAGTGGCACTTCAAGTTCAATTCATAAAACACAATCCCTTTTATAATTCCTGGCTTCCAAATGTAATAAAAATGTTTGACTCCATATGCATATACAATAAGAGTTGGACCGATAGAAACCACTTTGGAAGAAAAATATGAGGGAAGATTAACCAAACAAACTGAAAGGCAAAATGAGACAAATACTAAGTCTGGAGAAATAAAAAGTTTTTTAAAAAGTACATTAATTATGGCTCAGCTTAGAATAATATTTCTGTGGTTACAATAATACAAACAACTGCAACAGAACTAGAAGAAGAGAAAGGAAATCATCTATTTTGTGATTGGGAGGGTGGGTAAGGAACAAGGGTGACACAGGAAAAGTAAATTCTTTTCCTCATGGGGAGTGAAGAAATAATACTTTGGCCACTTCCACCTCCAGCCAGGATGGAGTAACTGGTACCAGACGAGGCCTCCCACCAGAAACAACTTAAAAAACTGGACGAAATAGCTGAAACAGTTGTTCTTAGACATTAGAAAATAGGTAGCCTGTATGAAAGCCCAAGAGTAATAGTAGCTTCCTGCCAAGTCCATAATGGGAAACCCAAGTAGAGCACAATCGCCTTAATGAGGAGACTGAGCAGAACAAGAGCAGAGTTCAGCAATTTGCACAACATCAGAGAGAAAGTAGCTCCCCACTTTGCAGAGCTGTTGCTCTTTGTCCGGGCCAGGATCAGCGTGCCAGGTGGGGCAGGGAGCAGTGTATCTGGGTCTGAGTTTTAGGCTTGGGGTGGCCAAGAGCTCATTTATTTACAAGACGATTGGGTAAATCAAGAAATACACAAAGAGTAATGGAGAAGAACACTAGAATAAACTGTATGGTATTAGATTAGATTTAGAAGTATTAATGTAAATGAATGCTTTTAACTACATAAACAGATATAATTGTGGGTACATCTATACTCATATGTACATATACATATGTGAGTGTATTTTTATAATACACACAAATATAGCTTTGTCTGCTGAGAGGGCCTGGTAGCAATGAGCACACTTACCGCCCAGATGTTGGTTCTAAATACCATTTTCTGCTAAAAAGAACCAGGGCTCTATGGAAAAGCAACTGAAGAGAGGGCTGGGGCACAGAAAATAAAAGATGAGCCTAGAACATCTTATTCTATGTGATAGGTAGAAAGTGCTTGAAGAATGACAGAAACATATCAAAAGGACAAAAGAGCCAGCTTGAAAGGGTTCCCTTCAAGGCCAAGTCTGGGAAAATCTGAGGATGAAAATAAATTATGGTAATGGACTGTAACCTCCTGAGTAAAATATGAACCCAGGAGTCCATTCTGACATTGAATGAATGAAGGAAAAAAAAGGAACGTTTCTAATGCTGGAGGAATTTTTTTTTCAAATCACCATTTGGCAACCATCATAGTGATAATTCAGTTAAGAATCATCAATGGATGCTAAATCTGATAAAGGCTTAAAGAGAAACTGTACATTTACATAGGCTTGAAGTATCTCCTGAATATTTATTCATCACTTCCTAACTAATAAGTATAACATATTAACATATTAATGTTTAACATACTTGTTAACTTTATAGTGGAGAAACCAGGCATATACCATCTAAACCAAATGATAAAGGTTATCATCACCAATAATGGGACAAATCAACATCATGAGCCTCCTGAAATGATGCTCCACAGCACCACTTCTACGGTATATGTGCTAAAAATGTACAAATTATGAGGAAATTATCAGACAACCCAAATTGGAAAATAATATCAAAGTAACTGCCCTATATGCTTAAAAATTAATGTGAAAGACATGAGAGTTAAGAATAGATTGAGGAGCCATTCCAGATTAAAGGAGACAAATATGACAACTAAATACAACACACAACCCTGGACTGACTGGACTCTGAACCTACAGAGGATATTGTAAACATCAGAAAAATTTTACTAGGATCCGCGAATTCAATGATAATATGGATCAGTGTAATTTCCTGATTTTGATAGTTACACTGTAGTTATGTAAGGGAGCATCCATCTGTTTTGAAGAAATACATAAATATTACAGAATAATGGGGCACCATGTCTGCACCTTATTTTCAAATAGTTCAGACATACTAACTGAATCTGGGAAATCTAAGTAAAGAGTTTATGGGAACTCATATAATTTCTATACATTTTTATAGAAAATTAATATGATTTCAAAATTAAAATGTTTTAAATGATCAACTAGTATTCTTGTTACTCTAGGTAGACAATAATTTTCTGGTTAACAGTTTTCAAATCTGCTGGTTCAATCAGTTCTAAATCCACTTTCAAACTTCACTGTTCTAATGTATCCATAAAGACTAATTACATCTATTTAAAAATATGTACTTCTTCCTCACCCTACATATGCAGGAATGACATGAAGCCCTATGGAAAAGGAAGATGTGATAAGAAAAATATGAATAATTCCATTCCTTTCATCAGCTAAACTTACAATTTAGTAGAGAATGACAGTATTCAAGATGACCACTATCCTTTGTTGAATAATTACCGTGTAGAAATTAACTTGCACTATGTCTACACTCTGATAGTCTTATTTTTATTTAATTTTTAATTTTTTTAATGTTTATTTATTTTTTGAGAGACAGACAGAGTGTGAATGGGGAACAGGCAGAGAGAGACGGAGAAACAGAATCTGAAGCAGGCTCCAGGCTCTGAGCTGTTAGCATAAAGCCTAACAGGGGGCTCAAGCTCCTGAACTGTGAGGTCATGACCTGAGGCAAAGTCAGACACTTAGCGGACTGAGCCACCCACCCAGGAGTCCCTGATAGCCTAATTTTTAAAAATAAGATTACTTCAAAATGATTTTTTTTTCCTTAAAAACCACATGCTGTTCTCTTAATCACTGTTTTCTATTCACTGACTCCATAGTCTTCTCCCTCAACATTCCTTTTACATTTATTAGGAATTCTCCACAGGGTTTTGCTGCCAGTTTCCCTTGCAGTGAATCAGCAACTGCCCATTTTCATTTGTTTTGTACTTATCCCTCTTCTCTATGACATCTAAAAGATTACTGCTAGTCTTTAGAACTCTGAAATTCTTTAAACACATTTAAAGAAAGTAATTCCCAGAGGGCTCTAATTCTCTATTAGCCATGATCATTCTTCTTGCTAAAGAACACCTAACCAAACAAGACCTCAGTAGTTGTGCCTTTCTTTTCTGATGTTCTTCCTTTTCTGGTGTTCAAACCGATTTTAAAATCCTTTTGTGCTGATCTTGGCATGCTACAAAAGAAAACCATTCTTCATATGTAGCTTACCCTTTGATACACATCTTTCCTTCTGTCTTTTTTGGCCTTTGAGCTCAGAGAGCTAGCTAACCAAATAGAGTTTTTTAGTCAACTCCTTCCTATTGAGATGATCAGAGATTTCTTTTCCCTAAATATTTCTTAGATGTTATTTTTCATTCTAATGATAATTCTCTCATTGGGAAAGTCATCATCACTTTCATGGTTTTGGTTATGGCTCATAGTTATTATTTCTCTGGCCTTTCCTAAGTCTACTTTCTTGAAGTCAACAAAATGTGTCTGGTAAGTCATAGCACTCTCTTTACTTCCATTTCCACTAGCTATTCTTCATGATTTAAGCTTCAGAGTAGAAACTCAGCTTCCAGCAACCAGACATGTGATCCCCAATCACTGCTACATCTTATCTCTATACAGACTTGGTAGACTGAGTTAGCAAAGCTTGTCTTCCACGCAGCCATGCGGGTCTGTCACATACTCCCGTGACAATGACTTCCCTTCAGCTTGATTCTAACTCAAAACACTCTACTATTGTAAACAACCCTCAGGGGTACAGGTATCTATACAATTGTGTTCTTTCCTTTCCTCACCCCTTTAATAGAGCCATTCTTTTTAATCAAGTATATTATTCTGTTACTATTTTCCAAACATAAAATCTACCTAAATTTTATGGACCACATTTACAGTCACAGGAGTTCTTTCACAACTCTTCCACCTTTAAATAAGTTGCAAGTTAATATGTAGATGGCAAATGAGAAGAAAGAGAACTAAAAATTATGGTGTCTAGAAATTGAAAAGACTTCTCTTTTGTATTTGGTCTTTTTTTAGCCCAAGAAGGTCTCATGGCGGAGACAAGAAGGACTCACAATAAGTACTATATACCAACTATTAAAGAATCGTCAAGAGGTGTGTTATGTTTGAATGGATCAATTAGCACTATGAGGATCTCCTCCACCACTCCCCGAAGTAGTCCACCTACAGGTAATTTCTAGAAAATAAGTGCAGCTATAGGCCAGAATGCCAAATAATTAATCACAGTTACTTTGACATACGTCTTAAGGAATGGCTGCCAGAAAACACAAACTCCTATAAAGTTAAAAAATCAGAGGCAACACAAAGAGATAGTACAAAAGCCTGAAACTAGTAATACCCATTACTGAATACAAAAATTAGTCATTATGAATATTACATGGTGTTTTAAAAGTTGTTTCAGGATCAAGATAGTTCATCCAGATGATGATAACTAACTTAGTAATTTAGTTAAGAATGCTGAAGTGATTTATAGGAGTTTCCTATGATTTTTACTTCTGTGTTTTGCTTGAGATGCGAAGGTGGTATGCACACTTTCTTGAATTATAAGTTGCTTAAACATCAAAAAAATTATTTTTTTCTAGTAAAAAATCTTAAATGGAAAACTGTCATTATGCCAACTCAAGTAAATACAGTAAATGTCAACAATCCTGTTAATCATAAATACTTTCCCATTTATCATTTCCTTCCCCAGAATAAATTTAAATAGATCTTACCTAATTCATAGAGATGCCCATCTACATGAACTAATGCAATAAAATGAAGATCTACTTTTTCATCTATACTTGGTGCCTGAAATAGGAGGGAAAAATATATATTATACGTGTTAGTAGTCAATCAAGTACATTGTAAACACATACAAATATGAAATGGCATGAGAGAACATTTATCCAACATAATTCAAGGCTTATTAATCTTTGATATGGTGGACAAAGAATGAACATGACCACATTTATGACAATGTGGAAACACTGAAAAACATCCACCAGGAAAACATCGACTAAAGCACATCTTTCTTAATCTCAACAGATCTAAAAACCTTTAGTATTGTCCAACTCTGGAAGGCCCAGTACCTAGTACAAGCTGGGTGCCTAGTGGATGCACGATGCATACCTGCTGAATGACATGAGTGCGTGAACTGATTTGTCTAATTTTTGAAATTTGAAATAAGAATGTTTTTAAAAAAATTAATAATAGCATAAAGTTAAAAGAAACTTTTCAAGCTAAATTTTAAGACATCAAGAAAGTGAATTCTTTCCTTCATGATTTGAACTTGATAATCTCAGTTTTTGAACAATGTAATATAAATAGTCTTAGAATAAAATAACTCTCATTATTCATCACAGATCAAAAGGTTTAAAAATGAATAAATTCAGGAAAATAGCCCAAAAGAGTAAAGGGGGAAAAAAAGATAAAAGCAAATTAAAATACAATTAACTATAACCTATGATTTTTCTCCGGCTTTCTTAGTAAACTATTTGAAATTAAAATTACGTCTACTTGTTTCTTGTTTTGTTTGTGTGTGTGTGTGTGTGTGTGTGTGTGTGTGTGTGTGTGTGTGTTTTAGTTCACTGAATTCAGTTTTCATTAAGCAATATCTGCTACATTTCTTAGAAATTTAAATAAATTACCCAAGGTCAATACATGATTAACTGGCACTGTCTATGATACCGAGTAAGCTTTACAGTTTAACACTACTATGTGTTAGCTATATATCAAATCTAAATAGTCTGAAAGAAAATACAATCACTGTTAAATGCAAGTACAAATTTTAGAGGCAAACGTTTTAAAGAGGCATAAATCAAATTACATCTCATATTAACATCCTGTAAGTAGCACAACACTATCTGAACTGCAAAATTTTTTTTCACCTTCAGGTCATTTTATAATTTTAAATAGTTTTAATAAGTTTTCAGATGCAAAAATTGAAATTTACAGAATAAACATTATTTTGGATTTACTGAATGCTTCTAAAACATTTACAGATAGTGTGACTCATCTAAATTCACATTATTCTTCAGAGATTATTTCCCCCCAATTATGAATGGGAGAACTTCAATGTAACATTAATGTGGCAAACTAGTTCTTAATTTCAATTTAGAATGAAGAATTCCACTGTTGGTAGTAATCAGAATTATCTACTTTTACTATTGCTCCAATAGTAGACTCCTCTCAACCCCCGTCTTGCAGTGGCCTCTATGAGAATGGATTAGGAGGGAGTCCATTCCATCTTGGACCGTTTGTTGGAGTTATCCTTCATCTGAAGCTAATATATGTCTCCCACTATTTTCCATTATGTTAGAAAAAGTCTAGCCCCTCTTGAACATGGTATTTCTTCAGATATTTAAAGACAGTGATATTGAGTTCCCTTATTTTCCTGGTCAGAGAATCAAAAAATATTAGTGATCACTCAATCCAATATCCTCATTTTACTAATGACCAAAAGAAAATTCCAATTTTTCAAGGCTACACCTAAGCAATCTACAAACTATACATTCAGTTCTATAACAAAAAATACTAGAAATGATTTTTTATCCAACTAGAAAGTGGTCTTTACTCATTTTAAGACAATTCTCCCAACAGGATATCAAGTATTTTAAATGTTTAGAACTATTGTATTTTCAAAAAGTATAAATTATTTTAACCCCATCTCTTAGGAATAATACATCTTATAGCTTCTATTTTTCATAATCTGTCAGTACATACAACCATTCTAGAGGTAAAGTAGTACAACTGGAGTTCTAGACCTGAATATGTACCCGATCCCTGTGCACACTGGGTTTCTTATCTGTTTTAAAGTTTAAGTGAAATGCATGAAAGTACTAAATTGTTAAGTGCTATAAAAGCATTATGTAACGTTAAAAATATTAATATTCCATTATCACAAATATAAGAAATCACTCAAGCTAGTGATTCATAATTGTGAGTCATTATACCTTTTATCCAAAAGTGTGTACTAAAAATATAAAACTCCAAAGAGGGTATGAGAAGCCTTCACATTGTTATAAAAGGTAAGTAAACCTCAAAATTTCTAAGCCTTCCACAAAACCTCAGTACCTACTAGGAGCCTTTCCCTTTGGTCAACTTCATTAGTCTGAAATTTGCAATTATCCCAAATGCTTAAAAACTATTCCACTAAAAACAAGAACAATAAAAGAAAAGGCAAAGTCTTCAATTTCAAAAAATGACCAAGAAGGCAGAAACCAGAAACTATAGATTGGATCATATTTTGCCTATTTTTTATATATTATTTTTTACAAAGTTCCCTAATTTATAATATAACACTTATTATTATCTCAAACAATTAAAAAGTCACATAATAAACCAATTAGATAGAAATTAAATATTAAATATAAATTTCAAATTGTAGAAAATATAGTTTAAATTTAATTTGTAATTATCTGATACTTAATATATACCAGGCACTGGTATATGTTTATGTACTTAAAAGTACTGACCAATGAATCATCATATAAACTCTATGAGGCAGGTAATACACTCATTTATTCTCAAGAAAACTGTTATACAGCTAGTAAGTGATGGAATCTGGTTTCAAACTCAGGCAGGGTAGTTCCATAATCCATGCTATGCTATGAAAATATTTATGAAGCGATAAAGCAACAATTAATATGGAAAGCAAAGATCAAACTTATATAAAATCATATAAAACTGGAAACACCAACTTTACGATATGTTCATTTATATTCAGAATATTTTAAAAGTACAAAGGAATATTTAGAATCAATTGTGCCCAAGTTAGAATTTACAAAATTAGGGTTTTACTCTGATCCTGTAATTCACCTTATATCTCCTACTATGCCAAACAATGTGTGGCACAGTAGGGAAGCAAAAAATATTAAACAGGTAAATGAATAAAAATGGCAAATGCATGTTGTGATCCAATGAGGAAAATGAAATAGAGAGACACCAGTTTGTTGCTTGATACTCAGCACAAATGAAAGGCTATTTTATGACCATACTGATATCTGGGGGATGTACATATTTTAGGAAAACTGTCAAAACTCTGCTTCACAGTTTGAGCATAGCTCTAAAAGAGTAAATAAAGGGGAAGAAAGAATGTTTGACATCAACTTTCAATTTATTGAAGCATTAAATGTATGAGGAATCAGACTTCCTCTGGCTTCAAAAGTCATGATGATTTCCAGAAGCATGAAGTTTTTCATAAATGGATGGCATACACCAAATCTTTCAGAGGTAGCATTTCTAGGTAGGCTCTGCCAAATGAAAGTCATTGCTATATAAGTCTAAAACAGCAGAAAGATAGAGCTGGAGTTGCCTAACCCTGCAGTTGATGTCAATTATGAGAATTATTAGAATTCCACCATCAACCTCAACATTTAAGATAATTAGCAAGATTAAAAGAAAGAATGTACTTCTTAATACTTTGCTAATATTATCAACCTAAGAAGGAGAAATCATAAAACTTGTGGGAAGCCTACATCAATTCACAAGGAGAAAATCTTCACCTCCTACTTGGAAAAGATCTTTAGAAACTGAATAGGCAGGGAAGATTGGATCAAGATTAAACCAAGTACCTGAGACACCTCAGGGAATAAAATAGCTTAGATGAAACACCCTACACCATGGAAGGATTAGGTTAAGGATAGAGTAAGTAAAGTGACCCCAGAGCATGACAAGAGACTATAGTCATGTTCAGAAACATGAAAAAAAAAAAAACAAAAAAAAACCCAAAGAGATGGCAAAGAACTCAGAAGGTACATAGCATTTGTTGACCTAAGTCAACTAAATGAAATCATAAAGATGAAGGGTAAGAGAATACATATTCACTTTAACAACTGACAGGAACTTAAACATTATCATGAACGTCAATCAGTACTCATCAAAAGGCAGGCATCCTTATGTTGGCGGGATATGGAGTGGGAAGATGAATGTTCACCGAGGCACTGGTGAAAGTCAAGCTAGACTGCAAAGCATAGAGGTATGCTTGCAATCTTATTGGGGGAGAAAAAGCTAATGGTTGAGTGAACCAAGAGAAAAGCACTTTGAAGACTGAAGAAGTGTAGGGGAAAAAAAATGGACTATCCTTGTCACTGGAAGAAGAGATGGAAGATTGACTACACTTACAACAGAATGGAGACCCATAGATGGTAGGCGTAAGAAGGGTCGCCAGCGACGAAGACGGAGAGATGGACTGGTAGCCTTTGCAGGGCCTACATGGTTACGTTTGACCCAGGGCAGGGATGCATGGTGACACAATGATGAGGCCTTCGTTCTGCAGTGGCTAGAATGAGGCTGTGATGAGGATGGCGAGGAGGACTACATAATTAAAAAAGAGAACATTATACTTAGACCACGTTACTGGGCGATCATTTATTTTTCAAAGCAACGTATGGTCATATTTGTATTTATATGGTCCAGTACTTTTAACCAACCATAATCCAGAAAGAATTATATATGAATATTGGTTAAAACTAGATAAAGTGGAAATATATAACCAAGTATCAGGTTATATGCCATAGCTTCTGTAAGTACCTATCTAAAATGTTTACCTATCCTCATTTGCATAACACAGACTCATGGAATTCTTTAAAAGCCACTAAAATGGAATTATTACATCAAATGGTTTAAAAAACAGGCACACATACACACACACGGAGAACACACAATATGTTACACATACAAAACAAAAAATAATGTGTAGAAGAAAACTGAATGGTGACAGAGGCACTGGTGAAGAGAATTCCTTAGCGAGAATAAGCTCTAAGGGGGGAAAAAACCCCTTCAGAATATAAAGAGGAGTGAAATTAACC